AGTCTCACACCAGGCCTCACTCTTCCTACGCGATCCATTGACAACTTCAGCAACCTCTTCTTCCTCGCCGTGCATGGTGCCTCTCTCGCTGGCATACCGACAACGACCATCTGCTAAATAATCTCGGTGCGTGCATACCCTCTGCTCGACCGAGGCTGATCCACTTGCTCGGTGGCAGATATTCTTCACGAGAGACGGAACTGACGAACATCCATCCTTGGTACTTCCCAATGCCAACGAGGTGCGTGGCTTTATTTTTAGGAGCATGTGCTGAGCTTGCCACAGTCCAACATGTTCATCACATCCTTCGTTATGATAGGCCTCTTCTTGTGCGGTGGATGTTCCTTCATCCCTCGCTTCCCGTGCTCACTCTAGCAGCCAGGAGCTTCTAGGTTTACACATTCGCGCCAGCTCTTCCCTCATCGCCTTCTTTATAGCCCCTAATTTGACGCTTACCACATCCTCAGTCTACACCCTCCTCCAACGTCGACTTCACCATCATCATCTGCAACTGCAACTGCAACATCTCCTTTATCTCCTTTACCTTCACCTGGTTCAGTTCCACCGCTCACATCTCCCGCACCTCGAGTACTACTGATAGAAAGATCCAGGCATAGTCTCACACCAGGCCTCACTCTTCCTACGCGATCCATTGACAACTTCAGCAACTCTTCTTCCTCGTCATGCATGGCGCCTCTCTCGCTGGCATACCGACATCGACCATCTGCTAACTAATCCCGGTGCGTCCATACCCTCTGCTCGACCGAGGCTGATGCACTGGCCCGGTGGCAGATATTCTTTACGAGAGACGGAGTCGACGAACACCAATCCTTGGTACTTCCCAATGCCAACGAGGTGCGCGGCTTCATTTTCAGGAGCACATGCTCAGCTTGCCACCGTCCAACATGTTCACCACATCCTTCGTTGTGACAGGCCTCTTCTTGTGCGGTGGGTGTTCCTTCATACTCGCTTTCCGGGATGGTTACAGCAGCCAGGAGCTTCTAGGTTTGCACATTCGCCCCAGATCTTCCCTTGTCGCTTTCTTTATAGATCCTAACTTGACGCTTACGACATCCTCAGCCCACACACTCCTCCAACATCTACATCGCCGCGCCCGACATGACCCATACTGTACCCCTCAGGCATCCTTACTGCAAGTAATTCACCGTCGAAGGAAGGTACGTCATCCTGTCCATAGGTCCTAGCTCAAGGCCTACAACAACTTCATCTCTCACGGGTCTTCTTTAGCACTAGCTGTGATTTGGGATACACGATCTATACCGATCCCTGCCTCAGCTCCCAGGAAAGATACGTCAACGCCTTCAACTGCCGTTTACATTTAAAACCTGATTTTTGCAGGATGACAGTGCGGAACGTACAAGCATTGATCGGAAACCCTTGCTCCCCTCGAGAAAAGACCAGACTTGCTCTCGTCTTCGTTAGGCATATTGGGGTGCGCATGCGGATGAGGTAAGTTGTACTCGGTCCATCAGCGCTCGACTGATACCCCCCAGTATGTGATCGCCATCCACGCAGCCCGTTCCAGTAGCCTCTTCTCCCTCATGACATGTAAGGTCTCTCTCGCTGCGCATCCCGGACATCGACCATCTGCTAACCAATCCAGATACGTCCCTCACCCCCTGCTCGACCCAGGTTAAGGCACCTGGGCCGTGTTAGGTACCCTACACCATAGTACGGCACTGACAGACGTTTCATCCTTGGGACCGGAATATGTAAGCGAGGTACGCCAGTCGTAATTGCGAAACGCGTATGCTGAGCTTTTGATAGTCCGACACGCCCCTCAATCCTCCCTACATGACATACTTACTTTTACAAGGTGAGCGTTCCTTTATACTGATGTGCCGTTGCTGACTCTGGTAGCCAGGAGCTGTATCGGTTTATAATAACCCTTTTGAAGATCTTGATTACGCCGTTTATAGATCCCAGCTCGACACTCACGACATCACCATCCTATGTTGACGTGCTCCAACATCGACCCGCTCTGCCCGACATCTGTTCGATCTCCAAAACATGAGGTCCGTCCTCCACATCCATTTACTGCTCGCGTCTGATATGCACTAGGGATGATATCAAGCAATGGTCTTTTCGAGCCAGCAACATACGAATATGATAGTCAGCATCTAGTTACTTGATATCCTTGCCAAAAAGGTTAACCACAAGATCAGTCTCGCCTACGGGACGCCCTTCCTCATTCGGGGGAGGAAAGGAAAATATCTCGGACGACTAACAGGCGGTGACGTATATGCAGTCACGTGAATCAAGACATGAGCTGCCCTCATCACCCTCGCTCTCCCTGTTGTGTTGACGCTGCCCGATATACGAAAGCGAACATTAATGACACACTACGCAACTAAATCCGAATCCTCGATATATCCG